AACCCCCCAAGTCCGGGAAACCCCAAACCAAAAAACAACAAAACCCCAAAGCAAAAATGAAACAGAAACCCCCAAACGAACAAAAAAATCCCCCAAACCTCAAGCCCCCATAACCTACTGAGGGGACTCCCACCCCGAAGCTGATGCCCGCCTGAGAGCAGGTGCAATGCCACCATTGCAGGGGACAGTGGGCCTTGGGCACGGGGCCCCTCACGGGGCCCACCAGGACACTGTGGTTGCCCTTGAGGAAGTAAGGGAAATCATCAAGGGCCCCAAACAAAAAACACAACCCCCAAACCACAAAAAACAAAAACTCCAAACCGAGTGTGTCTAGCTCAGTAGCGCCCTCTGGAGCCCGGAAGAAATAAGGCAGACCCTCCCTGGAAGAAAACATCTTCAAGCAACGCCCCAAATTTTTCACAGATTCGCATCAAATACATGCGAGAAGATCTTAAACACGGAGAAGAGACATCTCTACAAAAAAATGACCTTTAGATCAAGAGCAGACTTCTGGGCAACAACAAGGGAAGCCATAACACAGTGGAATAATAACTTCAAAAGGCTGGAGAGAAAGAATCACCAACCTAGAATTTCAAGATTGTAGTTGAGATAAAGACACGTTCTCATAAACAAACAAACAAACAAACAAAAAAAGGAGAATGTCTACCCCCAGCAGACCTATTGTAAAGGAACCTTTAAGCGATGTCATTTGTGCTTCAGGAAGAGGAAAAAATGACCCCCCCAAGTCCTCCGAGATGTAAGGTATAATAACGTTTGGAATCTGCAAATACATCTACAGCCAAATTAATCAATCCAGAGAATATTTGTTTTAAAAAAGAAAGGAGAATAACTTCACCTGAATGTGCTTAGAACCCTCACAGAATAATCTGCTTTCTATCTCCTTCTCAGCGTGACCCTGACAGAAAGTGTCATCAGAGAAGGGGGGCTGGGTCCATGGCTTGTGGTTTACCAGTTTTTTCAGATGGATAAAGGTAATCATTTAAAAACCTCGACGCATTTGACTTGGGGCTGACCAAAAACCACAGGGTGATTCAGTGCTGTTCCTGTTCGTTTGGTTTTAGGTTCTGTGGTTTGCTCTTCGTTGCTTGTTTCTTCCCATAAGAGCAGTTTCCTAACAAGAAAGCATCTAATGAGAAAAAAGAGATGACTTGAGATCTCTCTCAAAAATAAAATAGGGCCAAGATCTGTCTAATTTGCAAGTCCTTACTCAAAGCATCCTTGAGTTTACATTTCATTGTAGCGCAATAGTTTTTCGTTGGACTGACTTTACCTTCTAGGGGGCCTTGTGCAACGTCTGGTGACATTTTTGAAAGTCACAGCTGCAGGTGGGGGATGTTTCATCTAGTGTCTGGAGGTCAGGGATGCCGCTTAACATCCTACAAGGCACAGGATAAAGAATGGTCTATCTAGAATATCAGCAATGCCTGGGCTGAGAAGAGGAACACAGATACATTCTCCTGTGCCCAGGAGGACAGCGGATGTGGCAGTAAGCGGACAGTTTATCACGAGGTATTCAAAACCAACAGCAAGGACAAGCCTTTGTAACATATCTTCGAGCTCTTCGTGTTTGTTGTGTTTGGCCATCTGTCTAGACGTGAATGGCTCTCTAGCTCCAGATACTGCTGGCTCTGTGTAATTTTAGCAACCCTTGAGTTTAACCTAGCTTTACTCCATTTGGGAAGTGAAAAGGAAAGAGGAGAAGAAATGAGGTTCCCCTTGAGGTTTTTCTCCTTGGCCAGCAGATCACTGGTGGTGGCAGGGGGTGCCCAATTCTCTCTTCTGTGTGTGCACCAGGGCTCTAGTTTGGATCCTGCGATGAGTAACAGCCTGGAAGCCAAGGGCTGTGGCTGGGCAGATTATGTCTTGTAGGACATGCGCTCATGATTTGTTCTGGGTTTCAAGTTGGCGTTTTCTGGTGCCAAAGGCCCATTCTCTGTCCACAACCGGAGTATCCGGGAGACAATGGTGCTAGGGTCTCCCAGATGTGACTGGGAGCGGTGAGGTGGTAAGCAGCCCAGTGTGGTAGGTCAGGTGTAACTGACAGCTGGAAGGGTCCCTAAGGGCGTGCCCCACTTCTGCCCCTGGAAAGAGCTGCATTGTGGAAGGACAAGCCATATGATCTGGGAAGCTCAGAGTGTCTGGCAGGGAGTCACCGAGGACGAGGAGTCTTCTCCCCAACCCAAACTTATCTTCTCATAGGATTCCCCCATGGGATCCAACTTCCCGTACGGTCTCCAGATGTGAAAGCTGGCATTCCCAGAAAACTCCCTGCACAGCTGCTACATAACTCAGGCTGCTAGGCCCCTGAACCCGGGCCCTTGATTCCCAATACGAAAGACTGTTTTCATGTTTGTGTTTAAAAAAAAAAAAGTAAAGGAAAATATTTTTTCCAAAAAAAAGGTACAGCAGAGTCAGGGTCCCTCCCCGGAGCACGAAGCCACCCTGCCTCTTACATTCCCCTTGGTGGAATGATAAGAATAAACATCGTCAATCTTCTTATACCCATGTCATGTGCCGTTGTGGTATCTGTCCTCACCTACTCCCCATGCAAACTTACGGATCTCAGAGGATGAAAGTTCCATGTGGTTAATTAAACCTCTCTGGCAGTCTTGTCCACGTAAATATTTAACGATTAGCTATTTTCATGAATAAAATGGACATGAGCTGTGTGAACAGCTGAATGTAGGGACATGCTCTGAATGCTATTAGTCATTCACAAATACTAAATGTGCTTCCAGAAGAAAAGGAGATGAAATGAGGGAAGGAGGCGATTAGCTTTAAGGCTGTGCTCGGATGGGGATTGCCAGGCCCCTCCATTAAAGTTTCCGTCTGCCAAGGCACTGCCTGTCCCTGTCAGCTGATTGAAATGTCCATCATTGGTATTCTCAGACAATGACATAGGACGTTCTATTTTTTTTTAAAAAAACCCATTGCTTGGGAGAGGAAGAAGTGCTGGAGGAATAAATTCTGCCTCACCGACGTCTCAACAAGTAGGAGCATAGATTTTGTGATCCAAATCTACAGATGGGTAAGGGTCATGTCCTATATGAAACAGAATTCTGTGGTTCTCAGCCTGTAATCCCAGCACTTTGGGAGGCTGAGGCTAGAGGAATGACTGAGTCTGGGGGTTCAAGATCGGCCTGGGCAACTTGGTGAGACCTTGTCTCTACAATTAATCACAAAAACTGGCCGGGCACGGTGGCGTACGTCTGTAGTTCCAGTTACCTGGAAAGCTGAAGTGGAAGGATCACCTAACAGCAGGTTGAGGCTGCAGTGGCTGTGACCGTGTCACTGCACTCCATCCTGGGTGACAAGTGTGAGACTCCAGCTCCAAAAAAAAAAAGAAAAAAAGAAACAAAAAATCCCAGAATTCTGACCCTCAGTCTGCAGCAGTTAGTCCAGGAAGCCAAGCCACAGCCTCTGTAGCAATCAGCCCCAAAGGGTCAGGCCTTAATCAGTAATTGCCAACTTTCTATTTTTTGCCTGCCATTTCTAAGTTAGGACCAACCAGAGAAAGCCAAAAACACTTTTCTAGCCAATCACATAGGACACTTGCTTCTACTGAGCCTGCCTCCAGTCTCCCCTGCCAACAGCCTCCAATCAGAGCACGCCCGAGGCTGTTCCTGTTCCCCCTATAAACTTTACCACTCCTCAGCCTGCCTTTAGGTCTTGACCTTGTACAAGTGATGGTGGTTGACATCCTTGTTGTAGCAAGCTCTAAATGAACAGCCTTTCTTGTTCTCACTTGGGTGGGTCTTCATTCATTTCCATAATTTTTATTTATTACGTAGTTACGAATGAGTTAGAGAATATGACCTTGGGGGGTGGGACGGGACATGGGACAGCTAGATTTTGACTGAATAGAAGTGAAGAGGTCAGAAAGAATGGAATGTTTTTGGGATGCGAGGATACCAGGGCCCATGGTTGGGGGCATTTGTAGTTATGAGATAAGGAGGAATGAGGAGAAGAAGAGAGACTGAGTTTTTTTTGTTTTTTAGTTGGAGTCTCACTCTGTCACCCAGACTGGAGTGCAGTGGCATGCTCCCGGCCACTGCAGCCTTGACCTGCTGGGATCCGGCGATCCTTCTGCCTCAGCCTTCCAAGTAGCTGGAACTACAGGTGCACACTACCACTACCCAGCTAATTTTTGATTTATTGTAGAGATGAGGTCTCACCAAGTTGCCCAGGTGGGTCTCAGACCCGTGGGCTCAGGCAATCCACTTACCTTGGCCTCCCAAAGTGCTGGGATTACAGGCTGAGCCACCGAGCCCGGGCAAGACTGAGTTTTATAAACATACAGACTATTTGACAATATTTCCCAGAGTCAATGTTGACCATTAAAAATATGAATTTGTTATTTATATTTTCTTTTCTTTTTTTTTTTTTGAGTTGGGTTCTCACTCTGTCTCCCAGGCTGGAGTGCAGTGGCACCATCACGGCTCACTGCAACCTTGACATCCTGGGCTCAGGCAATCTTTCTGTAGGAATTGGACAGTGGTGATGCTGTGGGGAGCACAGGAGGGGAGCACAGCCGAGGTGGAGCGTGAGGACTCCTGGGCCACGTGTTGCCACGCCCTGCCCTTTACCTCCTTGGCTGACCCATGCAGGCTGCCCTAACTTCTCTGAGCTGATCTCAACCAGGGATAAAATTTTATTTAAAATTGGGGTTAAAAAACATCCCGACTAGCTCACAAAGTTTTGTGAAGGTCAAATGAGACGTCTTATGTGAAAATAGTTTCTATACGCTGGCGAGAAATATAAGTAAGGGCCAGGTGCTGTGGTTCATGTCTGTAATCCCAGCACTTTGGGAGGCTGAGGTGGGAGGATTGCTTAAGGCCAGGGGTTTGAGACCGGCCTGGGCAACATAGTGAGACCTCGTTGCTACCAAAAAAAAAAAAAAAAATTATCCAGGCGTGGTTAATTAGCCACCGTCCAATTCCCACCATCTTATTCCTACAGGGACCCCACAAATCTCCTACCTGGATGTGTAGAGCAAATGACCATTAATTCCTGGCTCGTGTCTCCAGACCGTCTGATGGGAATCAAGAGTTCCCCTATGTCTTCCTCGACTGTGTATTTCGCTTCTGGAATATAAACTGTGGAGTCTAGAAAAGACAGAAGAAGACTTTTCACCAAGGTGCAGATTTAACACACCTGAGCAGAAATGTACAAAGACTTTGACCCCTACATTTCGCAACATAATTAATTGTATTCAATTTAGAGAAAATGGAAGCTATTATTTATTTTCAAGTACGGCTGGAGAAAGGCAATAGAATGAGGTTTAGGAGACCTTTGGAAAGGTGAAAGGGGATAGCCAGCTTTGAAACAAAAAGGGAACCCTTGCAGCAGTTCTTTTTTTTTTTTAGGTCAAATTTTAGGTCTTCTAAGTAGAGATCACATATTTCTCACATAAGTCCTTGCTTTACTTTTACTGTGTGGGTTTTTTTTGTTTTTTTTTTGGAGTTGGAGTCTCACTCTGTTGCCCATGCTGGAGTGCAAGGAAACGCTCACGGTCACGCAGTCTTGACCTGCTGGGCTCAGGTGATCCTTCCGCCTCAGCCTTCCAAGTAGCTGGAGCTACAAGTGCATGCTACCACGCCAAGCTTAATTTTTTTTTTTGGATTTATTGTCGAGATGAGGTCTCACCAAGTTGCCCAGGCTGGTCTCAAACCCCTGAGCTTACGCAAGCCTCTCTTCGTCCTCCCAAAGTGCTGGGATTACAGGCATGAGCCACCACACCCGGCCTGGTTTTTTGTTTTTTGTTTTTAAATGTTCTTAACAATCTGGTAATCTAATTCACTAATGAAAAATATGTATTGCATTTATCGAGCAGATATCGTGCAAAGCACTGCACTAGTCATTTAATATGCTGAGAAAAATCAGCGACAGGTCTGTCCTCAATTTTTAAAAATAATATTCCTGCTGAAATTTATTGAGGTGTGTATGTGCACGTTTGTGTGTAAATATGTGTGTGTTGTTTATACATCTACATGTCATCAAGACATTTATTGAAATAACAATATGAATATTGGTCATGTCCTGTGGGTGGAATTATGTGTACTGTTTTTCTTTGGGATTTTTAATGTTTTCCAAGGCTTTGTATTATGCATGCATTGTGTAATTATAATATATGTGTTTGTTTCAAAATAAAATTTTATAGAAGGGTGGTCCTACTAACAGTGTCAGGTGGAGAATCGGAGCACCCCTCTGGATCAAGCCTCATTTAATTGACTCAGTTATTTTCCTCATTTCACATTAGACTTTATGACATATACAAGAAGGGAACACATCGTAGGAGGTCATCTTTTTTCTTTTGGAACTGTTACTAAATGATTATTCAGAATTCAGTGTTCAATTATCTGGTTATCATGTATTACATTTTTTCTTCTAAGCTGGGCATGGTGACTCACACCTGTAGTCCCAGCACTTTGGGAGGTGGAGGTTGGAGGATTGACTGAGCCTAGGGGTTTGAGACCAGCCTGGGCAACTTGGCAAGATCTCATTTCCACAATAAACCAAAAATTAGCCAGGCATGGTGGCATGAGTCTGTAGTTCGTTACTTGGAAGGCTGAGGCTGAGGGATCCCCTTAGCCCAGCAGGTCAACACCGCTGTAGCTATGAGTGTGCCACTGTACTCCAGCCTGGGCGATGGAGTGAGACTCTGACTTCTGACTCAAAAAAAAAAATTTTTTTTTTTCTTCTCTACTTTCCCACCTAGAAGTATCAGCTTCTAGGAAAACACGATCCTGAGTTACGAGGACAAAGATCAGTGATAATTTTGTTTTCTCCATTTTAACCCCATGGTAGTCAATTATCTTGACATCTCTCAATTTAAAAAGCTGGAATCTGGAAGAAGCTAAAAGCAAGTTAAAATGATCAATGTCATGTGAAAAAAACAGATACAATACGGCTGAGCGATTCCGTTTAGTCCTCTGTTTTCCCTGTCTGGAAAGCTTGTGGCTATCTGCTCTTCTAATCAAAATTCCATCTACTCAAGACTCAGTCCAAGCCCTGCCTCCTCCATGGCTTTAATTACTCGGGACCATGATGATCTCTCTACGTTCTTTTCTCTGAACTCTTAGCGTTCTCCCAAGTGTCTTACATTGAGCTTCATAACTGATTTATTTATCTAATTGTTATTAATAAAACTGATCAGCTACCTTGTTCACTGAGAGGAACTGACATGGTGACAGTTTTTTTTTTTATCTTTTTTGTGTCTGCCAAAATGCAGCACACATAGAACAGTATTTCCTAAACTGTGTTTCAAGAAAACAAACTCAGAGATTTTAAAGGATATTTCTTGGGGACAGCAAAAAAAATAAAATAAATGCACAGTCTTTTGGGGAAAGAGGTTTTAAAAAAGGAGAGTTTCTCAGAATCTTTAATATGTTAATGTGAATTACAGTGCTTCAAAGAGGGCTGAAGTTCCTTGGCTTATTTGACCATGAAAAGCTTTTCAACCCCACCTTCCCTAGCCATCCCTCACATTCTGTGACACGAATGTTCTCTTATGCAGTTTGAGACATGAGAACATAAAGGATTCTTCATAAAGACTTGTGGAATTTAGGGCACTTCCAGGTGTTCCACAAATTCTTCTATCAACTATGAACATCAGTGTGCCCAGTTAAGATTCAGAGATAAATACTAACCTCCCCGCCTTAGGGACTAGAGTCTTCTACTTTCAAAAAAGGGGGCAGCAAACAACATGGTTGTTGTTTTTTTTTTAAATTTCTCTGGGCGGGTGTTTGCTCAGTGAACGAATGCATGCAACAAACCGATGAATTTAAGAATATGATTTACAACAAATACAGAACTTCATGGAACATATGTTAAAACCAAGGAGTTGGCTGGCACCCAGTGACCACATCTAGGACAGTGGGTCTCTAAGTCCCTTCTGATCTGGTGTGTGGGCTGCAGGGGAGATTGTGAAAAAATGGTGGGCCTGGAATGAGCTCCCAGGATTAGCCATTGGGAGGCAGAGCAGCTCCATACCTCTCGATTTTAATCTCCCACATTCCTTTTCTATTTCCTTCCTTCCTTTCCTCCTTCCCTCCTTCTCTCCCTCCCTCCTCCCCTCTCTCCTCCTCTCCTTCTCTTTCTCTCTTTCTTTCTAGTTGAGGTCTCACTCTGTTGCCCAGGCTGGAGTGCAGTGGCATGATCATAGCTTATCACAGCCTCAACCTCTTGGGTTCAGGTGATCCTTTCGTCTCAGCCTCCTGAGTAGCTGGGACTAAAGGCATATGCCACCATGCCCGGCTAATTTTTTTTTTTTTGGTAGAGATGAGGCCTTGTTATATTGCCCAGGCTGGTCTCGAACTCTTGGTCCCAAGCGATCCTCCTGCCTCGGCCTCCGAAAGTGCTGGGATTACAGGCATGAGCCACCATGCCCAGCCTTAATCTTTTGTATTCCTTTTCAGAAATCCTGAGAGCAGATGAAAAGGTGTCATAAATTGATCTATTTCACCTTAAATCCTAAATGCATATGAACACAACCAGTGGCTTCTGGGTCTGAGGGAAGTATGAATACTTGAAACGGACCCACAAACCTGTACTGGCTGAGAAAGCAGACCAATCAGTGTCACCTACCATCTCCAGGGTCTACAATTTCAACTGTTGCCATTTCCGGAAACTCCAGTGCAGCCATGAGAGGTTCTGACAGAATGATCTGGAAGGTTTCTGAAGTCTCGTATTCGTTGTCAGATATAATTCTCACCCTCCATGTGGCTGTAGTCTGTCCAGGATTAAACTGGACCTGTTTATTGACCTTTTCTTTAAAATCTTTATCTTTTTTTGCAGTTCCATCTTTGGTTTCAATGCCTGAATAAAAATAAATAAACTATTAATAGAAAACCCAGTGACTGATGAAATAGTCTCTTTTCAAAGTAGTTTTTACTGTCAATGAAAGTAGATAATATAGGAATTGCTTCTTTTTTTTTTTTTCTTTTTTTGAGACAGGGTCTAACTCTGTCACCCAGGCTGGAGTGCAGTAGTGTGATCATAGCTCACTGCAGCTGCATACTCATGGGCTTAAGGGATCCTCTCACCGCAGTCTCCTGAGTATCTGGGGTACAGGTACATGCCACCATGCCTAGCTAATTTTTAAACATTTTTTGTAGAGACGAGTCTCTTTATGTTGCTCTGGCTGGTCTCAAGTTTCTGACCTTAAGCAATCCTCCCACCTTGGCTTCCCAAAGCACTGGGATTACATGCATGAGCCATTGCACCAGGTCAGAAATTGCTTCTTTTAATGCTTCTAAGAGACACTTGTAAATGATTCTTCTTGGCTCAGAGAGGATAAATGAGAAGTGAATTGAATTGAGAGAAAAGCAGGGAAGGAAGACAGACAGAAAGAAGAGAACACAGAACAGTCATTAACTTCTTATTTATTCTAGCACATACTTACTGAGGGCCTCAGATGTGTCAATCTCTGTCAGGCGCTGGAGATTCAGAAATAAGCAAGAAACTGTTTCAGCCTCCAGCAAGCTCACAGTTGAAAGAGAAAGATACAAGAAAACGAGCTTGATGGATCTTGGCTGTTTTGTTCATTGATAAATTTCTGAGGATTTGGATGGTGCCTGCCACATAGTAGGCATTCAATAAATATTTTTGAGTGAATATTTGTATCCAATAATTCCAATTTCTACATCCTTTGGAATGACTCTGAAGGTTGTTTTTCCTGTAGATCCTTACTCATGGTGTTTCACTTCATGTGTTTAGTGATTTTTCAGAGAATTCTTAGTAATCTTTCAATTAGTGCAGTGTTAATAGAAATGGAAAGTGGGGATAGATTTGAGGAAGAGGAAATAGGAATTAGTAACTTACTGAAGAGACTAAATAACAACAACAACAACAGCAACAACAACAAAATAGTGTTAAAAATATCCAACGAGAGATATAATTGTGGAAGGTGTGATCCCACCAAGACAAAATAGATCTTCCCCTCACCCCAAAATGTTCAGGTAACATTCTAGTATTATCTGGTTTTGATTTTAATGCACCAAGGAAGTCCCATGCCTCACCACTTTAGGTCTCATTATAGGGGTATACTCTGTAGTCATTTGAAAGTGTGAAATCAAATATTGTGACCTGACGCCAGTTATGGTGGAAACCTGACAAAGGATGAGACTATTCCTTGCAATTCCTTGGTCTCATTCTCAAAGAATTTGAAACTTTAAAAAAAGATACCCCAAAATGTAAAGCATGACAATAACAACTCCTCCTCCTCCTTCTTCCTCTTCTTTTTCTTTTGAGTTAGGGTCTCACTCTGCTACCCAGACTGGAGTGCAATAACACAATCTCAGCTCACTACAGCCTTGACCTTCTGGGTCCAGGTGATCCTTCTTCCTCAGCCTCCCAAGCAGCTGGGACTACGGTTGCATATCACCATGGCTGGCTAATTTTTTGGTTTATTGTAGAGATGAGGTCTTGCTATGTTGCTCAGGCTGGTCTTGAACTCCTGGGCTCAAGCAATCCTCCTGCCTTGGCCTCTCAAAGTATTGGGATTCATTATAGTTGTGAGCTGCTGCATCCAGCTGGCATGAAAACTCTATGTAGAATAGCTCAGGTTGTCTTTGCAAAACTGCTCAAGAAAGCAGCATTAATATCAGTTTGGTAACTGAGAGTGACTGTCCCATATTAAAGAAGAGCCTCCCTTGGCCACCTGTTGGAAGCGGGAACATAAGCAAGGGAGAGAGGGGTGCTCCGCAGAAGCTTCTGTAGAGCTAGGTGGCATTGCTGTGGGAATGGAGCAGGCACATGGCAATTCACTTGCTATTGGTGATCATCGGCTCTGTGCGAGGTGCTGAGGAAGTCACACGGGATTCTCACGGCCACTGCTACCCTCGAGGGGTTTTTACTGTGTGGGGAGGTAAACAGACAGGTGGTTTCAATTCTGTGTGTTGAGCGCCACAGAGTGATAATGGTAATTACCATTGACAGAGCATCTGCTTGTGCCAGGAGCCATGCTAGATGGATTTATCATTGTTAGCACGAATGAGCCATAAACACATCTTCGGTGGGTAATTTATACAAAAGGAAACAGAAGCTCTTTTGAATGTTACAGAAAAGAGTAAGTGGCATGTCAGGAAGTGAAACTCTGCGGTTTTTTTCTTTTTTCTTCTGGGTCCTGTGCTTTGTCTGTTTGCCTGGGGTGGGATGGGGGCATTAGGAGGACTTCCTGGAGCACCCGAGAAAGATATTTTGGAGGTTCCCCCCTGTGTGGGTTTAAGCAGTACAGGAAGCCCCCTTCCTACGAACCTTCAAGTTGCAAACTTTTGAAGATGGGAATGTGCATTTGTATGGCCAGTCGTGTAAGTTAGTTCACATGTCTGGTGTATGTTGTCATGTGTGTGCTGTAAGATTTAAAATGCTTTATTTTTTGTGTTTGTTTTTTTATGTATTATTTATGTGAAAAGTAGTATAAACCTATTACAGTAAGTACTGTATAGCCGACTGTGTTCTCTGGGCACCTAGGCTAACTTTTACGATGAATTGAACTTATGATCACATTCTCAGAATGGAACTCGTTTGTATGTAGGGGAGTTACTGTATAGAACAGGTCTACAGCTCACTTATCACCAAATATTGTTGACTACCACGTACTCTCACACTGTTTTGGGGGTTGAACATAACCCAAGACGTAGTTTCTGACCTTGTGGAGCTGGAGATCTACTGGGTGTTGTCTAGTTAGGGAGGTCAGAAGCTCCTTGAGGGGTTCAGTCAGTCTGCAAACATTCAAAAATGGTTCTGGGCAGATGGGCTTTTTTTTTTCTTCTTGAGCCAGAATATGAAACCACTTTTTGACATATCAACCCAAACCCACAAGAAGGCCTCAAGATAAAAAATTGTGGAGGCAGGACCTTGTACGAAAAAGGAAACTTATTTCACTGAGGTTCCTGGCAATGAGTTCCCCCATGTGTTGACAAAGCAGCCTGGGGTGTAGACTGTGGCTGAGGGCCACCCAGAAACAATTGTGCTTTTTGGCTGACCTCTTCTCCTAGGAGAACAGTCCTGTTCTGGAAACCTCGGGCTGGAGAGGAGACTAGGGAAGAGCTTGCCTTTTCCTGATGGCTTGTTTTCTCTGCAGCTCATTTTTCCCCCTGGCTTCTCTCCAGCAGTTTTGTTGTGCTGGCTGGACTCTGAGTGGAGTCCTGCATGTCTGGGAAACTCAGAATGCTCATTTGTAAATTGAAGATAATATACCCCTATCTGTCTTATCAACAGGTTGTGAAAATAAAGGCAAAATGGTCTCTGAAAGTTCTGGTGGCTAAAGATGTTATGAATATACATTGCATTATTAGAACAATTATTGTCAATTATTAACGATGATAATGAGATGTATTATGCAGGCATTACATATGTATTTGCTCCAGGGAGACATATTTCTGCACTAGGTCTTTGTAGTACAAAGAGAAATTTGACAGTGCACATGTTCTCAAGGAATTTATCACCTAATAGCAGGGTTAAAACAATTATATATGATCAAAAGAAATAGTTAGAACTAATCACAATGATGCATTGTGTACTCATAAATAATTTTTCAAAAGAAATAGAACAAATAACATTGGCTTAAAAACAACTTTGAAGGAAACTGAATGATTTGAGGATTGTAGGATGGAATATCTTAATTTTCCTGAAGTCCTTTGAATTATGAAAAAGAGAAAGAATGGACTGGGTGCGGTGGCTCACGCCTGTAATCCCAGCACTTGGAAGTTGAGGTGGAAGGATTGCTTGAGCCCGAAGTTTGAGACCAGCCTGAGCAACATAATGAGACCTTGTCTCTTCAGAAAAAAAAAAAAGGAAAAAAATTAGCCAGGGGTAGTGGTGTGCACCTGTAGGCCCAGCTACTTGGGAGGCGGAGGCGGAAGGATCACCTGAGCCAAGGAGGTCGAGGCTGCAGTTAGTTGTGATGTTGTGATTCTGCCACTGCACTCCAGTTTGGATGACAGAATGGAACCCCAACTCAGAAATAAAATGAAAAAGAGAAAGATTGCAACCTCCCATAAGGAGGAAAACAGGGGAAGGGTAAAACAAACGAATATATACTGAAACCCATAACTCACATGGAATAAAAACCACAGCACAGTTTCGCACGTACTTTTTAAGGGGTTTCCCTAAATCAGTTATTGACTTTCTTAGGGTTATTCTTAAGCCTAGGGTTATTCTTTCTGAGGGTTATCTTAAGCCTAGGTGTCATGACCTTTCACCAATGCCCATCCAAAGTCACTTACCAACCAAGGATGTTTCCCCAAGGTGTCCTCTGCGTGCGAGGGTCACTTCTAAGAATGTGTAGTCTTCATCTACAATGTAGTACTCTTTCTCCAGAGAAATCCAAGCCCAGTTGAGGTGGAAAGGCTGACTTGTGAGCTTATTTCCTTCTGCAATTGATAAGGGCAGAGTAGAAGTTAGATGGAAGATCTGGTGGAAAATCAATGATCAACATGTGCATTTTGCTTCGGAGGCAGCCAGGGGTTTTAAAACATATTCTCTCTCTTTTTTGTTTTTAGAAAGAGAAAGTTATTTGCTTTTCTAACATCATGGGCACCATCTTAAGTCCTATTTCTCCTCCTTAATGTGGAGACATCCAGGTGCCTGCTACTCACAAATTGCCTTATGTACCAGGATTCAAAAAATCTGGAGTTTGGCAGTTTTTTTTTCCTAGTCAATCTCTCACTCTGTCGCCCAGGCTGGAGTGCAGTGACATGATCATGGCTCACTGCAACCTTGACCTCCTGGGCTTAGGTTATCCTTTTGCCTCAGTCTTCCAAGTAGCTGAGACTACAGGCATGCACCCCCATGCCTGGCAAATTTCCTTTTTTTTTTTTGAGTTGGAGTCTTACTCCGTCACCCAGCTGGAGTGCTGTGGCATGCTCATGGCCACCCCAGTGTCGACCCGCTGGGTTCAGGTGATCATTCTGTCTCAACCTTCCAAGTAGCTGGAAATACAGGTGTGCGCTACCACACCTGGCTAATTTTTTGATTTACTGTAGAGATGAGATCTCGCCAAGTTGCCCAGGTGGGTCTCAAACCCGTGGGCTCAGGCAATCCACTCACCTCAGCCTCCCAAAGGCACGGGATTACAGGCTTGAACCACAGCACTCGGCCAATTAAAAAAATTTTTTTTGGTAGAGTCACAATCTCCCTATGTTGCCTTGTTTGGTCTCAAACTCCTGGGCTCAAGCAATCCCTCATCTTGGCTTCCCAAAGTGCTGGGATGATGGGCATGAGCCCCTGTGCCTGGCCATCAGTTTTAAATTTAGCTCATACCCAATGGCTTCATCCCTTCCTCCCTGTCTTGTTCATGTCCTCTCTCTCAACCTTCTCCCATTTCTTCCTCGGCCCTGTGGTTTATTCCTTTGTACTATTTGTGTATCCATTAGTTCTCATATTAGTCTAGATGTTCCTTGAAGGCAAAGTCTATGTTATGCTTCCTTATGTTATTACTATAGGACCTAGTATGGTATATTGAACTCACATGCTCGGGTGTTTCAAAACTACCCAAGTAGAGGGCAATGGACAAGGATGTAAGCACTATCTTGGATTTCCTCTTGTCCATGCCGGGTCACTGACCTCTTTGTGGATGGTCAACCTGGCCCCTTATTGTGACTGAAAAATGTGTGTGAACTGGTGGCAAGAGGTCTCTCCCTCAGCTGGGAAATGCTGCAGATAATCACTGTGATAGACTGTTGAAATAGAGCTCTCTATGACTCTATTTCGACTGATGGGCTGATATAATAGACGGCAGATACCAGAAGTGAGGGTGTCAGACCACCAGAGATGGAGTTTACCAAACAGCCCCACAATGACTGGGCACCTTAATCAGATCAAGCATTTCCAAGTGAGGGCGGTACGTGGATCAGAAAGAATAATTTGTAAAAAGGTACAGGAAGTCACCAACATACAAATGAGCTCCGTTCTGAGAGTGCATTTGTAAGCCCGATTCAAGCCCAATAAAGTTAGCCTAGGAACCCAACTAACACAATCTGCTACCTATTATAATGCTAAATATTATAATAGCTGCACAATAGCACTGTATGTATTTAACAGGCTATACTGACACCTGGTGGAGAGAAACAATACATAAAAAATGCAAATGTGCATCATTCATGTTTGTAACTTGAAGGTTTGTATGTAGGGGACTTACTGTACTTCAGAAAAAGCTGGTGCCATAGTAGGAATCTCTATTACCACCCAGGAGGGGTGTGGGCATGGGGACTACAGTCTTCACCTGCAGCTGAGAGGGCTTCAGTGAACTTCTGGGAGAGCTGTAGTTGGAGGTCTGTGCGACTGACTCATTCCACCGAAAGTCTAACAGGGTAGAGGAATGAGTGAAGAGGGCTGAACAGGGAAGTAATCACACAGCTGTAAGGAATAGGACAAGGAAAGCATGTGTGTGGACCAGAGGTGGCCATCCTGTCCAATAAGGTTAGTTAAGGAGGCAGTGGGATTCCCTAGGAAGGAGGTTGGGAACTGACTGACAGTTTCCCATGGGTGGCAGAGGCAGGAAGGGACAAGGAGCAGAAGATGAGGGGGCTCCAGAGGCAGGAATCTTCAAGGAACTCATGAAAACTGGGCATGGTGGCTAATGCCTGTAATCCCAGCGCCTTGAGACGCTGAGGTGGGAGGATCACTTGAGCCTAGGACTTCAAGACCAGCCTGGGCAGTATAGCAAGACAAAAAATAGAAAAATTAGAAAAGAGTAGCATGTGCTTGTAGTTCCAGCTACTCAGGAGGCTGAGATGGGAGGACTGCCTGAACCTAGGAGGTTGAGGCTGCGATGAGCCATGATGGTATCACTGCACTTCAGCCTGGGCAAAAAAGTGAGACTCTGACTCAAAACAAAAACAAAAAAACTCAAGAAACACCAAGTAAAGAGAGTGCCCTGCAAACAGTTGCCACCCCGGGACCCAACAACAGATGGCAACAATGCCTTGCATGCTGGACTGTGCTCTGTCACTCTCCTCTCCTCTCTGGGGTCAATCCAGGAGGAGCACAGGCTTGGTAGTCATCCAGGGGAACCCAGGAACACGGAAGGGCAAGCTGGCCTTGACCTCCGCCACACTGCAGGCTCTGACCCACAGCTGTAGAGAAGGTTTATGACAGAACGAGTTCTGTGATGGAACCCTGATTGGGACTGTGAAAAAAAAATTTTTTTTGAGTCGGAGTCTCTCTCTGTCGCCCAGGCTAGAGTACTATGGCACGCTCACGGTCACCCCAGCGTCGACCTGCTGGTCTCCAGCGATCCTTCCACCTCAGCCTTCCAAGTAGCTGGAACTACAGGTGTGTGCTACCATGCCTGGATAATGTTTTGATTTGTTGCAGAGATGACGTCTCATGGTATTGCCCAGGCTGGTCTCCAACCCCTGGGCTCAGGCAATCCTCTTGCCTCAACCTCCCGAAGTGCTGGGATTACAGACTTTGCACCTGGCCAAAAAATATATTTTTTTAAAATTCAGGGTCTAACTCCGTTGTCTAGGCTGGAGTGCAGTGGCACGATCATGGCTCACCCCAGCCTCGCCCTCCTGGGCTCAGGCGATCCTTCTGCCGCAGCCTCCATGTGCCATCACACTTGGCTAATTTTTCTATTTTTTGTAGAGACGGGGTCTTGCTGTTATCCAGCCTGGCTTCGAACTTCTGAGCTCAAGCAATCCTCCCGCCTGGGCCTCCCAAAGTGCTGGGATTACAGGCATGAGCCACTGCCCCTGGCCGGGACTGCAAATTCTAACGACCAGGTTGACGTTGTGTTTTTGATTTAATATGACCAGAAGGTGTTTTTATCTGAGAGTGATCAGAAAACTTATGTGACCTGTGAATGATCCATATAGGAGAAGGATCCTTTTCTCAACTACCACCATTGAATAAATGTTAAAAATGTGAAAAGGATATACTACTAAAATGATAATTTGATACATCACAAATCATGCTTATTCAGCAGGCCAGGAATTCACTGATGTATAACTGCAAGATAAATGCATATGTTGATTTTCAAATGCATTTGTTTTTTTAGACATGGGGTCTCACTCTGTTTCTCTGGCTGGAGTGGAGTGGTGCGATCATAGTTCACTGCAGTCTTGAACTCCTGGGCTCAACTGATCCTCCCTCCTCAACTTACTGCTTGGCTAGGACTACAGGTGCATACTACCATGCCTAACTAATTTAAACCATTTTTTTAAATAGATGAAATCTTGTATGGCAAGTATTAGTTTCCTTTTGTAACTTGACACACAGTTCCAGGGCCAAGACCCCAGTTTTGGAGCCTTCTAAACCAGTGCTCTTTCTTTGTCTCGGGGCCACCTCTCCCGCGACTCATGGAGCAATGCAACCGAAATAGTTCTGAAGGGAATGGGCACAATCGATTGCAGATCAGACCCTCCCATTCAGAACACGCACAATAAAAAAGATTCAACAATTAGAGGCAGAAACATTCCCATATTCCAAATGAGATAATCTGTAGTCTAGTGATTAAGAAGAGTCAGATGGACCCAGGTTCTGGCTCTGCCACTGATTAGCCACATGGTCATAAGCAAATGATGAAGTTTCAGTTTCTTCATCTGAAAATGTGGTAATAGTCTGATATGCCTTATAACATGTTGTGAGAATCACAGAAAACAATGCTACAAATTGCCTGGTGCAAATTAGGTGCTCAGTAAAGGTGGGTTCTTATCATCGTGGTTTAAAAACAGAATAGAATTGATTAGTGCTAGGCTATGCTGCTTCTTGTGACTTTGCATTTATACCAACAGATTAAGAGACCGTTTTCAAATTGGCCAGTATGAGAACTTTGAACTCCACTTTAATTACAACATTTTGATTTTCAAAGCAGCTTCCTGTCACATTTCATATTCCTCTGCAGTCCGCCTACTTTTTGTCTGCCCCACGGCCAACGGTTGTGACTTATTCTGCTGTAATTTTAGTATGCCTAGCCCTTGAGGAAGATAAGTCAATGTGAAAGCATTTTCCCCTTCAGGCATGAGCTCTTTAGTCACTGGCCAAGTCAAGGCTCTCTGCCAGACATGCTTGCTGCTGGACCTTTTCGGAGTTGCTGCTGGGCACGTCTTGCAGAGAGCCTTGACTTGGCCAGTGACTAAAGAGCTCACTTCTAGGGAAACGAGAAAGATGAGCATGGCCTGGGTCAAATTAGAACTATTCTGTGTATCAAGACATTTAAGAGATGGTGGTTTAAACCAAGTATGTTAAGAGAAAGAGGCTGGGAGAAATCGATTGTAATTCCCGATGAATCCAAGAAGGTAGATTTCATCTATATAGGTCTTAAAGTCATATTCACTGATATTGCTTAATTAGATAAACCTCAGAAATAGAGAAGTAAATATCTAAGAAAGTTGAATGAGGCTTCGGCTTAAAAAATGCAATACATAGG